TGGAGATGAGTGTTAGAGCAAAGTAACAAGTTTTTAAGTTCAAGTGTAAATTTGGGTGGGAGGCTGTGGTCTTTTTGTTGATTTGGAGTTGTGATTGTTGTAATGTCCATTTGAGTTTTTGAGGTTGAGATAGGTTCTGGTTCCAGGAACAAGAACCGATGGGTCATATATATATATATATACTAAATAAATTAATATTATATATAATATTTTTAGTAGGTTTATTATAATCAGGACCATTGGGTCAGAGCCGGTTGTCCTGAGAACCGATCAATTTGGTTCTGGATCTAAAATTACAGACCGTATCGGGTCCAGTTCAGTTCTGGTTCCTTAATATTTTTTGTCGGGTAGACTCCGGTTCTGCATGGACCCAACCCTGACCCGACCCATTGACAGCCTTAGGTTAAGATTTTGGCATTGAGTTGTGATTGGGTGGTGGGATGTTTTGTTATTTCTTCTCTTCGGGTGATTGCTGGTCACCTTCCTTGTAACTTTCATTTTTCCTTTTAATAGACTTTACTTTACCTTAAAAAAAATGTTGTATTGTGATAATCAAGCTGCTATTAATATTGCCTATGATCGAGGACAACATTACAGAACCAAGCACATTTAATTAAGTCAGACTAGCATTTTATCAGGAAACGTGTAGTTTCTCAAGATGTTTGTCTTCCTTATGTCAACACAGATAGGCAGCCCGGATTGAGGGAGAGAGTTGAGAGAACGAACTCTTGATGAGCCTGCTATGTATTGTTATTTATTTATTGACTGGCCTGATAGTGTGTTAATGGGCCTAGGGCTGTCAATGGGTCTGGTCTGGGTCGGAATCAGCTGGAACCAGAACCAACCCAACATGAAATATTGAGGACACGGAACCAGACCCAATATGGTCTGTAATTTTTGGACCTGGAACTGAACTGATCAGTTCTCAGGACAATCGGGTCTGACCCGACAGACCCAATTATAATAAATAAAAAATAAATATTTATGTTTAATATATATTAAATATTATATAATACATATTATATACTATATATAGTGTATATATATAATTTATTTATTTAATGTATTATACATTATATATCAGGTCGGGTCTGAATCGGTTCGGGACTAGGTGGAACCGGTTCCGAACCGATAGTAATCGGGACCCTATATCAGGACCCAGAACTGACCCATCTGTTCCAGTTCCTGGAACCAGAACCGGCCCAATCAGTTCAGGTCCGTTGGATCGGACCCGACCAATTGACAGCCCTAAATGGGCCTTAGGCCCTACTTGTATTTTTTATTTAGTTTTATTCACATCGAAGAAGTTAATATAAGTATTAGTGGGTTCTCACCTTAAGATCCATGATCTTGAGGTGATTAAATTTGGATTAAATTTAGTGGATTATTGCTTGCTAAATCACAAGTGTTGTATAGCAAAGATGTTCCCCTTCATTTCTAGGGTGATGCAATAGATAAAGCTGTTTACCTAATAAATAGGATGCCACCCAAAGTTCATCATCTAAGCTTTGTCCCAACTATGTGGCATCAGCTACACGAATCTTATTTTGCCATTCTGTTCTACTCATAACTAATATCCATTGTTGAATTATTTTTTGATAATAAAATAAAAATTTTAAGAGAGAAAAAAGAAGAGGATACAAGAGAGGTGACCAAAAGATCCAGAAGTCACCCGAGCACTTCTAGCCCCCTCAACATGTAATAAATCACTTCTTACGGGTATTGTAAATGGTCTATCTCTACATATGACCAAACCATCTTAGTCTACCTTCTCTTATTTTATCACCCACTGGAGCTCCTAGGCTCCTTCAAATAACTTCAGAAATATAGAATTGGAACAAGACTCTGCAGTAGTGATAAGTAAACTGACAAATAAGGAGATGGTACCATGGAAATAGGATCAAGAGTGGAAAAGTCACTAAATTACAGGCACTTTTTGGTAGAAGGGACTCAAGGGTAGTAGCTGGTTGGTTAAAGAACAAACAACAAGGGCAATGGAAATTTACAGACACCATTACAGAATGGGATAATTACTTATATACCCTGAGGTTTGAGGAAACTACTTATATGTACCCTGTAATTTCAAAAAGTACTTATATATACCTTGTAAGATGGTCCCACATAACACAAATAGGCAATCTGTTAAGGAAACATTCAGGACTGTTTCACATGCCCGTTATTTTTTTCCAAAATCCCAAATGTACCCTTCTATTGTTTATCAAACTAAGATGTTGTGTTTCTGTTACAAACCACTACAGCAATTTCTCATCAGTGACGCATGAGACCACTGCAGTGATCAGGCAAGGAAATCCCTTGGGACTCTTATCCTATGAGCACTCTCTCCTCACTCCTTAGTACCCCAATGTTTTTGTCTCTTGTTGGCACAAAAGGTCAGATTAAGATGTTTTTCTACTTTCAACGGGGGAGCAAGGAAGACCCAAACCTGAGATTGTGGCTCTGCTTTAATCTGGAGAACCGGCTGTGAACGAGGAAACAAAGGTGTGGAGTGCTCGATGAGAAACCAGATGAGAACATAGCAGTGACGGGCTGTAATAGGTTCGGTTTCAGACCTGGCTTTAATGGAGCGGAGATGAAAACCACACAAGTAGATGACCACCAGTGATTGCAGCTACATATTACCAGCCACAGTAATAGATCAAGGTAGATTTCTACCTTCTCTGATGTCAGCCAGGTGAGACTGTTAGTCTATAGCAAGTGACGGAGCTTCAACTGTCAATGAATGGTTCAAACTATAGAGATCCAGGCACATCCTCTGCTTCATCTATAAAATAGTGTAGAGGGTGACCTCCGCTCGGCGGCAGTAATGAAGAGGGAAGAGGAAGTAAATAAGTAAGACAAGGTGTTTGATGGTTGATAGTGACAATGGAGATGCAGTTGGTGACAGTGGCTCAGTTACAGTGGAAGTGGAGCTTATTTCAACAGTTGATGATGCTCAGTTTATGATTTGACTGCAGTAGCAATGGAGAATGGGGGAAATGAAAAAGAAAAGGAAATAGAAGAAGAAAAGTGGAGAAAATGGGAAGATATCAATTTTGATTAATTTTTAGAAGGGAGAAACCTAAGAGAACGAGATGATTGGCAAATTTGTAGGAATTTCTTAAGGGGCAAATGAAGAGTGCTCGATTTCAGGAGGAAAGGCCCATCGTCGTTTTCTGTTGCTCATCCTCAGCGACCACCGTCCTTGAATCCTTCTTTGTTTTGTTTAAGTGGGTGCCCATTACTGTTCTGAAAATACCACCACGAAGAAGTGGGAAGATATCAATTTTGATTAATTTTTAGAAGGGAGAAACCTAAGAGAATGAGACGATTGACAAATTTATAGGAATTTCTAAAAGGGAAAATAAGAGTGCTCGATTTCAGGAGGAAAGGCTCATCAATGGTATATTTTGAAAATTTAATTAACAGTTAAGGACATCTTGGCCCTTTACGTTTTGTCTGCTATGTTTAACGTTTGAAAGGTCAACAAGGTACATATAAGTAACTTTTGGAACTATAGGGTATATATAAGTAATTTTTTAAACTATAGGGTATATAAGTATTTTTTGAAACTGTGGTATATACAAGTAGTTTCTTCAAACCTCAGGGTATATAAGTAATTAACCCTTAAAGAACTGCAGTGCTTGATTTGGGAACTGAATGTGACCCTCAATTGGGTTTTTAGATCAGCCAAAGGTTAGACTGACACATTAGAAAAACAAGGGGCAAAAAGGGAACATTTTCCACGGGCAAAATGTAGGGTCTGTTTGGTTCACAGTCAGAATTGGAATCAAAATCAGAAATGGAATGGTCAATTCCCATAGTCTGTTTGGTTCAGACAGGAATGGGAATCAGCAGGAATGAGATTTCATTCCCAAGGGAGGGGGATGGAATGGCCATTCCCTCAAATGGGAGAATGCCATTCCACCAGGAATGGGAATGGGATTCTGATTCCACCCAACCAAACAGTTGGAATCGGAATAGCCCATTCTGATTCCAATTCCAGACCCCTATTCTTACAAACCAATCACAGCTGTAATTAATGATCAAAACGGGGCTGGGGGCTGCCAGTCCAAATCAAGGGTTTCTGTTTGACTGTATATTATACATAGCCCATTCTTTTATTCACTTAATAAAAGTCGTAACCTTGCCAATTAAAAAATATTAAAATTGTGAAGTTGTGAACCATGACAGAGAAAAGCTGAATGGATCACAAAGATACCAACCAGACAATTTCAAAACTTGAATTTCAATTCACAACAAAGAAACTTCCTCCTATTTTCTTAAAACTGAATTAATATCCAACGTAAAGTTAAATATGATGAGGACTGAGGAATAATCATGCTAAGGCATTCAGGAAGTTGAGGGTTCACCACTTACATGGATCCTGCCGACAAAGAAGGCAAAGCAACAATCAGAGTTTACAGATAACACAATTATGCTTTTGACTGGGGTTCACATGGACAGTCAGGTGGATGACGGCTCTATTAATTCACCAAAAAATAATGTGCATATCTGATGGTTTACAATCATTTGATGTGCTGATTTCCATAGAACTTTTGAATGTGAATCATCCAACAGTGGTGCAGAATTCTCTGAACATGGACCACATGGAAGTAATGCGGTCCAGACCAAGATAAATGCGTACGTGCATATCGTGAGGGAGGGAGGGAGAGAGAGAGAGAGAGAGAGAGAGAGAGAGAGAGAGAGAGAGAGAGAGAAGGCACATTAATTCTGAATGCTGATAGAAGATCACTTTTGTTGGATTGGATGATGACTCATCTGGACATCAAGGATACCTCTAGAGTATTCTTCAGTGATCAGTATTGGACTAAACAAGATTATATGCATGTGCATCTGCGATGTATGTCTCTGAGACATTTGTTTCACTCTGTAGTTGAGTGTTTTCTCAACACTCTCATCTCATGTACATTACCATTTTTTAGTTTAATAAAATTATTGTTTTATTATCAGAAAAACTAGAATGAGAGAGAGAGAGAGACCTCTTCCTTCGTATGCACATGAGACTTGTGTGTGCCATTCAGCTGCTTTGCATCTTTGTCAAAAACATTTGCCAGTACAGAGATAAGTCTTCGCAAAAGATTTTTCCGGAATAGAATTATCACAGAAACCCCCTTCCACTTGAAATAGTTAGCAATTTGCTGGTGATAATCCATAACAGCCTAAAAAGATATAATCCATAATTTAAACAGAAGGAATATCATAGAGATAGAACATTTTATGCATTTATCCAATGAAATCAATACAAGACATAGCATCAATTTATATAATTAGTGTTTGATCAAAATTAAACTGTAGAGCATCTACATTTGAGTATAATACAAATATATAGCCTCAATTTACTCTACAATATCAACTTCAGTGATACAATTGTCAAAAAGCATAGAGACTGGGACACATACTGCAAGACATGCTTTTCAAACAGCAAAAAACACAATCCAACAATTTACTGTTAGAGGAGATTGTAGAGATAGTGAGCCAAATGGCCTTTCCTCTTTATTTGTTCCCTTATCAGTCTTTATTTTTGGGTTAACGGGCCTCCTTTTTATTGGCGTGTCATTGAACCAGCTGCCCTATGCCGGCACTCTTGTAATTGTACCTAAAGTTATGATTGGTTCTAATAAAACACAATTGGGGCACTGAGAGAGAATGAATAGCTCTCTTCTCTTCCTTTTCTTCTTTCTTCTGAGCTTCTTCCCTTTTCTCTCTCTTTTCTCATTTTCTTTAATTCAGGATCAGATTTATTGCTGGTTTGGTTTTCAACTTGGTATCAGAGCATGTCTCACTTTCTTCTTAGGCCCATGCACAGCGTGTATGGAGAATTGATTGATGATTGACTGGTGGTTTATGTAGCCTAATTGGAGGAGGAATACACATTCAGATTGAGGCCCAAGACAGGCTCTTGTAGATTTTCCTAAAAACCCTAGCTAACTGGAGAAAGCGAACTAGGGTTCTAGAGACTGATTCAGGTTGGTGCTTGGGGCTTGAAAGGAAGCTTTTTGATCAATTTTGAGATCGATTCAGGTTGGTGAGGATTCTGGAGTTCCTGGAACAAGCTGCCACAATTTCTCTTCTTCTCCCAGGCTGAGGGTTTTGTGAAACCCTAGACTGAGGTGATAGAGGAGTTGTTTTCACTTCAGGTTGGTGTTTTGTGGTTAGTAGTACCATATTCTTGTTTTCATTTATTTTAGGGAAATTTTTCTTAAACTGCCCTTAGGGTTCCATCACAATGCGCTCACATGCTACATGACTGTTATATTTTGAGAAAATGACAGTAATACCCTTTCCGATACCAGTATTGATTTATCATTGAAACCTTTTCCAGTGCCGGGGTGTTTTCAGTAGCTCTCTCTCTCCAGTGAAGTTTTGAAATTCAGCAGGGAGCTTGTCACTGCGCATTTCTGGAAGCAAAATCGCAGAATAATTCATTAAAACGACTTGACCTGCTTCGGTGGTTGCAACATGTTGTTCATGTAGCTTCTTTACAGCTACAACCCACCTGTCATAGAGCTGGCGGAGATAGACGGATTGCGGCATATTGCTTGTGTATCTAAGCCTCCAAAGTTCTAACCAACCAGAACAGAGAATAGAGAATTTTAACTTTTCAAACGAAAAATAGAAATCTGACAGTTAAAAGGGGATCTAATGAACATTCTACAACTTTTCCAAGTTTTCTTTCTGAGATTGATGATGATTTCTTTTGGTAGGTGGGATTTTGCTCTACTTTTTGTTTGGGATTTGGGAAGGAACCCACCTCAAGTAGACCATTGGGGCTTGGGGGATCGTGGGAGACAATCAGAGCATTAGACCAGCCTGTTCATTTCTAAGAATGATTTCTACGGTGCAGATAGTTGTAATGGCGCTTACTGTTATCGACAAATCAATTGACAGGAAATACAAGACAGGTTATGTATGGCAAGATTTGGTGGATGACGACAGCCAAGGACGCAGATGGAGACGGAGACAGAGATGGAGATGGAGATGGAAAACGGAGGCAGAGACAAAAACGGAGACAGAAATGGAGATGGAGACAAAGCAACCTATAGACTCTGGGTTTGGTCAAGGAGGGTTTGTACTCTATAGAGACATTATTAGATGCAATGACTATTGTGAAACTAGACGATACCAACTTTTGGCTAGGTCTCAGTTAGTGAGAATTCATGTCTGCAATAGAGGAAAATAGGGGTACATCATTGTTAGTAAGAAGAAACCTAAGAAGGATGACCCTACTTATGAGAAGTGGATGCAAGAAAACTACAAAGTTATAGGATGATTAGTTCTATGCAGCCTCATGTCAACCAACACTAAGATTCTAGCAAAAGATGAGGTGACCCTATCTCAAGCATATGCTTTGATTAGTAGTGAAGAAAGCAGAAGACAAGTTCAGATGGTAAAAGATCCAATTGACTGCTTTGACAATGTCAAGATGAAGCCAAATGTTGCTAATGAGAAGAAGGATGTTGTGTGTGAATATTATAAGAAATTCCAGCACACAAAGGACACCTATTGGAAGTTGCATCCAAAGCTTTTACCTGCAAGGTTCAAGAACAGTAATAATGGCAAAAAGAACAGGAGTAGGAGAGGCAGTAATGCTAATGTAGCCACCTCTTTAGAGAATGAAAAGGGGCCTAGTGGTGAGAAGTATGTAGGGAGCAGCTTGCAGCCACCAGAGCAAAGTATGAGAGATATGGCCAAATCATCATTCACTTAGAGTCTACTGCTACAGCTCTTACTCCTCCAAGCAACGGCTCTTCTTCTGCTTATGCACACTCATATATTCATCCCACCACAAACCATGCTTCCATCTCAGGTAATCATAGGGTCCCCTAGATAATAGATTCTAGTGCTTTTAGTATATCCCATTTATTTACTCCCTACCAACTCCTATCTGGCCAAAACAAAATTTCCCTTGTTTTTTGATGAATGAATAAACATTTTATTAATCTAGAAAATTAAGAGTTACAGGCAGCCCGAGGAGATGAACATAACTACAAGGTAGCCCAAAATAAAAATAAAAATAAAAATAAAAATAAAAAAATCCCAAGAGACCCCCTGTTTAGCAAGTGAGTCAGCCATCAAATTTGCTACGATGGTTCATTTGCTCCCATCTCAGGCAAGGGAGACATCAGGACCTCAGACTCCCTTACCTTGTCTTTTGTCCTTCACATAACGTAACCTTTTGACATACTTATTATGTTTTTCAAGACATGAAATCTCAGAAGGTGATTGAGAATGGCCATGAAGCGAATAAGATACACCTGCTAGGCATGCTTGAGCAAAGCCAAGTACCACCTCAAAGAGCAACCTTTGGATGAAATGTGTTCGAGTCAATTAGTTGTGTCATGTTATGTCACTATTGCCTAGGTCATATTTCTTTTTACTTGTGAGTTTTATGAATTCTCAAAGCATCGTAGAAACTCTTACCCCACAAGTAACAAAAGATCTACTTTCCCCTTTAATATTGTTCACTCTGATGTGTGAGGGCCTTACCATTTACCTTGCATGGAGGGGTGATCATAGGCCGAGCTGGGCTTTGCACTTATGATATGGGCTCCCGAGTTCCAAGCTTGAAACATAAGCCTGGGTCCAAGCTGAGCCAAGCCTATGTCATCTATATATAAAATATTACATATATATAATATTTCATATTAAATGGCATATAATATGCATATAAATTTACTTTATACATTATATAATATAAAATGTTATATATAATATATTATAAGTGTCATACTATAATATTTATGTAGAAAATATATAACATAACATAAGATAACATATATACATGTGTATACATTATATAAAAAATACATATCTTTACATATATGTGGTCCAACCCGAGCTTGGGCCAGGCTTGAAGTATCAGGCTAGGTCAAGCTTGAACACAAAACCAAGGCCCAAGCCTGAAATTTCCAAGTTGGGTCGGGCTGTAATCATCATCCCTACTTGCATGGGTGGCTATAAATACTTTATTTTGTTTATTGATGATTTCTCCCATTATACCTAACTTTACCTTATGCGTTCTCATATTAAAGTACTAAAGCTTGTAAAGCAATTCGATTTGTACTCATCCAGTTTGATACCCGCATCAAAATATTTCGATCAAACAATGCTAAGGAATATTTTGAGAAAGACATTAGCTCTTATATTAAGAAATTTTGGGGTTGTTGGGGTTGTTCACCAAAAAAGGCAAGTGGGCAGCAACCCCTCATATTATTTATATTAGGGCAGCCATAATAAAAGGGGAAAAGATAGAGCTACCCCCAAACACTAAACCAAACATAAAACAGCATAAAAACAGTATATCGATAGTATAAAGGACACTACAAAAGACCCCCTCACGTTGGATTACACAATATCAATCATTCCCAACTTGTTACAAAGCTCAACATGACGAACAGAAACTCCTTTTTGTGAAGATGTCACTATGTAAGCTAACTAGTTTGTGAAAGTAATGTAAAGAGTACAAATTTCACCCATCTCCAACTTCTCTTTGATAAAGTGCTCATCTAATTCAATATGCTTTGTTTTATCACGAGGAACAAGGTTGTGAGTATTGCATGATACCAAGGGCAATGGCAGCTTTTTTTATCAATAAACATGTATTTTATTTAAATTTCAGATTGTAAACAGCTTATACAACTTGGTGATGGGACTGTTGATCCCTTTAATCACTCTATTCTATCCCTCATTACAGTGCAGCCCAAAATAATTGTTGTCTCAAATCTCAATGCCCCTGTTTTGATAAACAATCAGCTAGCCCATTTGCACTCCTTCAGACCCATTTAAATTCAGCCTCGACCTCCTTTGCAATTTTCTCCTGTTCCCTAATCACATGTTTAAACGTCCACGGGGTATGGCTGTTGTTTGCTGCCCAGGAAATTACTACTTTTGAGTCCCCTTCCACCTCAACATGTTTGTATCCTAACTGTTTGGCTAGCTTTAAACCTTGTAGTAATGCCAAAAGTTCAGCCTTCAGTGAGTTTTTTGTGCCAATCAGTCCTGAGAACATACCCAATATCCTCCTTTCAGAATTTCTGAATACTCCTATTCCTAGAAGGCCCGGATTTCCAAAGGAGCTCCCATCAAAATTCAGCTTCACTTTATTGCCTTCTGGTGGCTTCCGCTCCAGCCTTACTTTCTCTCTTACTCTCGACGACTGTGCTTATTTCAGACCAGGTTCTTAGCATGTCTGTGACTGAGAAGACTTGAAAGCTATCCAAGGATTTTACCCAATGAGCTACTTTCACCTTAATGCTGTCAATCACTTCCTCTACTATTTTGCTTCTTTCCAAGAAAATCCTGTTATTCCTCTCCTCCCATACTATCCAACAAATTGTTGCTTTTGTTGCTTTCCACATTACCGTCCCTCTTTTCTTTCATTGTCTCAAGAAGTCACGGTTGAAGAGTCTTGCCACATCTTAAGGGGGAGCCCACCTACAGCCAAAGAGAGTACAAAAGAATTCCCAAATTCAAAGCACAAAAGAACATGATATCATTAAATGAGATAGGGTCTCACCACTTTCCTTACACAGCACACATGAGGAGAAAGGCAAATGTATGGCCTTCTTCTTTGCAGCATATCACAAGTGTTTACCTTACCAAGGAATATTTCCCAACAAAAGGCTTTAATCTTTGGGGAAATAGGCTTGCACCAAATTTCATTCACAAGGAAATCCCCACCTAGGGGGTTGGGGGAAGCAAATGCTCTGAAGAAAGAAGAGCAAGAAAAGAGACCGTCTGGAGAGCCTACCCAGATTCTAGAATCTAGGTATAAGGCCATTGGGTTGGTCATAGGAAGCCCCAATTCAAGGAGAGTGTTCTTCACCCATAGCGTTTCAATCACCCCATGTGCCATTACACAGTACTCAACTTCTGCACTTGAATGAGCCACCACTTATTGCTTCTTACTTTTCCATGTTACTAAATTTCCTCCCACAGAAGTGCAATACCAAATGTTGACCTCCTATCATCTAGGAAGTATACCTAAACTACATTTATATAGGTTTCAACCTTCTAGCGCCCATTGTTAGCATACAATATGCCTCTTCCAGGGTGCTTTTTTAAATACCTCAAAACCCTTTTAGCAGCTAAAACATATGAAGTCTTTTTATCAGTAAAACATATGAAGTGTTAAAGCATGCACATGCTAACTGAGGACACCAATGACATATACAATATCTGGCCAAGTCATAAAGAGGTACAACAACAGCCTAACAAGTCTTTGGAACTGTCTTTCATTCACAATTGTATCTCCTACACCATCTCCTAGCTTGTGGTTAGGTTTAATAGGAGTGTAAGTTGGTGTGCACCCAAGTTTACCTGCATCCTATAAGAGATCCAAGATATGCTTTCATTAGGAAATGAAGAAGCCTTTCTTGGGCCTAGCAACCTTAATCCCAAGGAAATATTTGAGGGGACCTAGATCTTTTACCTCAAACTATGAGCAAGTAACTGTTTCAACTTATATATCTCAGCCTCCTAGTCACCCGTGAAAACAATATTATCCACATACAAGTTTCTTGCCTTCCCTCTTCACAAACATTGTATGGTCTAATTGGCACTGTTTAAACCCCATTTGTTGAAGAGCATTGTTGAACTGGCCAAACCAAGCTCTTGGTGACTACTTCAACCCATACAAAGAATTCCTAAGACGATAGGCAAACCTTCCCTCCACTTCCCTTCTCATGAAAACCTAAAGGTTGAATCATATATACTTCTTCCAAGTCCCCATTCAAGAAGGCATTCTCCACATCAAGTTGATGAAGATGTCATCCTAAATTGCTTGCCAAGGACAATAAAACCAGTACGGAGTTCATCTTTGCAACAGGTGTAAAAGTTTATGTATAATCAACACCATACATATGTATGAAGCATTTAGCTATAGAGTTTAGCCTTAAATCTCCCAATAGACCCATCCGCTTTGTGCTTTACTATGAAGACCCACTTACACCCAATAGGCTCCTTCCCTTCAAGAAGATCAACTAGTTCCCACATGTTGTTCTTATGTAGGACATTAATCTCTTCTAGCATAGCTTTAATCCATTCAAAGATTCTATGGCCTCTATAAGAGATTTAGGGATAGAAACACTAGACACAACAAAAATGCAAGCACGATATGAAGGAACAAAGAATTAAGAGAGGCATAACGAGCAATAGGGTGCCTAATGGTGGAGATCTGACACCCTCACAATGGACAATAAGAACATCAAGGCCATTAATGATAGCGTAAAGGTAAGGGAACAATACCTAGTTGTGAAGAAGATGGACTACAATGTGGATCTGCCTCCTAAGAGTCCATTGGCATTGATTGCACAACTTTTGGTTGCTCTACACTTTGATATACATATTAGACCTAATGACGATGACAATCACGAAAAAAGTCCACGTCTATCTTGCATAAAATGTCAAGCCTTCCCCCTCTGCACCTAAAGTCAATTAGTTCATTTGAAACTAGGACTCCATTCAATACCTCTCTCCCTAGCATAAATGCATTCTAAGGGTTAAAAATAAAAACAGCCAGCACCTCCTTCAACTCACATGCAAATATTTTCCCTAGTATTTTGTAGAAACCACTGATCAAGTTTATTGGCCTATAATCTTTCAACTCCACTACCCCCTCAATTTTCGGAGTTAGAGTAAAGAAAATCACAATTAAGCTTCTCTCCAACATTGTACACCTATGAAATTCTTTCATCCCGTTCATCATGTCTTGCTTCAGCTTGTCCCAACACTTCTTGTAAAATAACAAAGTGAAATCATCATAACTTAGGATTTGTCCCCATCAATCTCATTAGTCATCCACCACCCCTCTCCTTAAATGGGTTCTCTAACTCATCTCTTTTCCTTGTGTGTCCAACTTCCCAAAACTTACCCTTTTTAGAGTCAGTCTTCTCCATTCCTCCTTGTAAAGCCACTTGTAATAGTTTATAGCTAAATCAAATATGTTCTTTGACAATGGCAATAGAAGAAAGGAAGTATAAATCACTAGGATCCATTTGAATATGACATACCCAATACAAATCCATCCAGTAGGACACACACACACACAGACAACAAAATTATAGCTACATGCTTATACAACAAAAGTACCATAAACAGCTAACCTTGGAGAGTGGTTCCCCAATACATCCTAAATCATCCAACACCATCTCATGCCAGATTATCAGCCAGTTTTGCTGATTTCCAAATCCATCTAAATGAGATGTTTACCAAGGATATCAAAGCCGAAGCCTTTCTGATATAATGACAAATTCCAAGAGCCTTCCACCTCATCTCTAGAGCAGCTTATAACCACATAAGACTAAGAGTCCCTTTCCACCTCCATCTGAGATGGTCCTACCATGGTCAATGGTTGAAGGCCCTAAAGCATTGATCCATCTAATCACCACCAACGAGACATCCTCCACCACATGCTCAAGGTTTAGTGAATGCATCAACATGAGGCCTTGGTGTAGGGACAGGTTCTTTGCTCTTGCAGTCTCCAATACCCAATTGGGGCAACAAAGACATAGAGAGACTAAAAGTAAATTATATTCTGCATCACCCCATAATCACAGGGCATAAGCTTAATCAGTATCACTTTTCTCATAATTAATGCAACTTTATAGTATATATCATGAAAATAAAAGTAGACATTGTACATGAAAAGACACGGGAAAGATAATAAAGAATAGAAAATTAAAATAAACCTGGTTCAGCATCCACTTGAACCCAACTGCAGCCACACATTCATTTTTAGCGGCACTACTATTCCATTCTAAGTTATAGATGGTATCCAATGTTGTTAGGATGGACGAAATATTGCTTCTCCTTTGTTTTGAAGAGAAGATTTCCCCATTAGAACTAATGTTTGGGTGACTGTTCAGCAAGGTCTCAAACCACCCGCTTCCAGATCTCTGCATGGATAAAATAACAAAGAATCGGACAGGGGTACATGCACATTCCGCCCTGTCAAAAGTCACTCATGAATTAAACCTTGCAAATAAGGCAAAAAAATCATAAACAGTAATGACATTGTACAACCTGCTATAAGTTCTGGGTTGTGGAAAATGCACAAAGGGGGTTTCCTCAGGTGGGATGCTATGTATATCACAATGTGTCCCAGCCTTCCCTACAACCAGAGGGGTATTGTTTGGCTTTATCTGTCTCAGGCTTACATAGCAAATGTACACTCCAAACGCCATTACAAAGAAAAAAAGAACCATACGCAGAACAAATGGTGCCCTTTTTGAGGTCTTGAATGAAAATATGTTCTGCAAAGGGAAACAAAAACAGTTAGAAGGTTGACAATACGGGGGGAAAAAATCAAACATCACATGGAATTTACCTCCTTTTCCATTGTCCTGTCTCTCACATGAAAATTTACAAGCATGGAACATCATCTCATCCTACTTTCTTGCTTCTCTATGACCAGAATAATATATCTCATCCATAATGCCTGGCAAAAGATTTCAATATTTCGCATTATTATTGCATTATGCTGATGAAAAGATAGGATGGCATTTCAAGAATCTACAAAACTAAAAATAATGCAAAATTACCAATTCAGAGAATGATCACTGTGTTGGATATTCTTCGGTGCTAAATCTCCAAATAGACTGAAAACACAAAGAAAGGGAAAAGAATCAGCATTACAATTTTAAGTAGTACAAAACTACCAACAAAACAGAAGTTCTTCCTTTTTTCAAATCAATTTATCATTTCAGTAAGAATGATAATAGACTGAACAAAGTAGATGAAGTTTGCCTCTAACAATTTTTTTTTTCTTTTTTTCTTTTGTTCTGGGGATGATTATTAAATGTCAATAAATTCAGTGGACCAAATGAATCCATTACCTAATTGAAGAATCATCTAATTGTAACTGAAAGGGATGCCTGAGGAGACATGTACATTTACTATCTCATCAGGAATAACTTACAACATCAAGGAATAATCAAGACATGTCAATGAGACAAGATGCTTATGTATTTGGACTACTAATCAAGACATGTCATCAAGATGAGCTCTTAGTTACTAAGGTGGGTGCGTTTGTGCTTCATATATAGTATAGGTGTCCATACACTGTAATATATATACTATATAAAAAGCTTATATCCTAGCATTGTGCAAGAAACTGGCACTGTGGACATCTCCATTGCATGAACACTACTTCGCTGTTCCCACTGCAACACAAGATCGTATATACTTGATTCTCTGTTATTTCCATTCACCATAACTCCAATCCCTCCATGTGACCATCTCCCATTCCCAAAAGTATAACTCTTGAAAATGAACAAAAGGGCAACTTTAACATGATTTGCCATGAAACTTTTCAACCGAAATGTCGGTCGTTTTTCATTAGTCAGGTCAAATTTCTTAATTGGGACAATCAAAATCAGAAAGGAAAAAAAGAAAAGAAAAGAAATACAGTACGGTAATTCAGCTTACCAGGACGGTTTTCAAGCGAGTTCCGACCATTTCTTTACCCCTTTTTGGCAAATGCCCCTAGAGCTCTAGAAATACCATCGATATCGAAGTACCAAAGGCGCAAAACCCTGAAGAAATTCCTCTAGTCTCTGCTCAGCGGACAGCAACAGTGAAAGGCGCAACGATCGTAAGGAAGAAAGCGCGTGAGACTAAAAACAGTGACGCAGACGCAGTCAAGGACACAAGAATCGCAACTCGTTTCTGACCGGAAATGTCCGGTTTCGATCAATGTTTAAAACCCAAGGGGTGTAGTACTGTAGATCAGTACTAAAGCTCAAGTGCTTGACTGAGCTAGGAAGCTACTAAGAGCCCGTTTGCGAGGGTTTTTAGCTTTGATTTTACCACCAATCTCACGAGTCGGGATCTCCTGCCCACGCCTACCCACAATACACTATTCCCGTGAATTAAGAACATCTCCCCCGACATAATATTATGCAGAGGATGAGGTATTCTCTATGTATAACTGCAATAAATGTATTTCACGGAAGCTTCAGCATTTTTTTTAAGGCAGGCTTCAGCAATTTAACCTATATTTTTTTTATGAATGGGTATTTTACCAAATATATAGCTTGTAAGCTTTTTCATGTGTGTGTCCAACTTGCAGAGTGATTATGGCTTAACGGGTGAGATCTTCGGCAGAGACTCCAGATCAATTCCATTCCCACTGCCACTAGGGTTGGTGCCTGGGTGGGCAAGGGTTTGGGGAATGGGGGCCACCCCATTGTATAAACCGAAGAATATAAGTACAAGTGAGGGGTGAGTGGGTATGATAGCCGGTTCAGTCTAGCATAGACACTGATTTGATTCTTGCAACTACCAAATTTGAAAAGCGGGATTATTAGTGTGGACCTGTGGTATATAAACAAAAAAAAGAGAACATAACTACCCAAAAAATTGCAAAGCAAGAAGCCACAGTTGGACCATTGGATTCAAAAACACAACACATTATAGAGACTACAATATCAAACACTCTAATCAAGATCGACCTGATTTCTTATCTGAGTGACAGTTCACCAATTGATCCACTTTGGGTGTGTTGAAGCTTTAATTTAGCTACTTCCATTGATCCACTTTTGAAGAAACTACTAAAACAAGTTTCACCTAAAAAGCCTTTTATTTTACTTTAGTTGAACAATAGCATATTTAGACATTCCAGATCCAGATTTTCACCTAACATTGCTTATTTATTACTATTTGCTGTTCATATTGAGCTACTTTCATATGGCTGCTTTGGATAAGCCACTAAAAAACTTAAGCAGAATACCACATTTTTGCATGGTTTTCAAGACCGGACCAGACCGGATAGTTGGACCAGAAAAACCGGGAACCAGTCATCTATTTTTTCTTAAAATCGGATTTTTTCCAAAAAACGTTGATTTGGTCAACAAACCACTGACCTAAGCGGTTGAACCACTTGAACCGTTCAACAGTTTTAACAATTTTTTATTTTTTTAATGTTTTGTTAGAACGGACCGACCATTCAGTTCGAACGGTCAGACCATTCGACCTGAGAACCAGACCCCTGACTAGTTTGTTGTCTAAGTCAGTTTTAAAAACCTTGCATTTTTTGTTATAAAATAGCCTTTTTTAGCTTTCCATGCTTATCAACCAAACATGTTTATGGGCTATCCCGATGAGGCCCACCTTGTAAAGGTGTTTAGAATATGTATATCAAAATTGTGCTTCTATCCAACAAGAGACAAAATATGCTGACCACAACACATTCTGGCCACATCAGAATAACTGCACATCAGTGGCATCTTTCATGAATGACAATATAAAATACAGGAGAGCCGATGTGCAGATATGTTTATGTGGCAGCAATGTGTTGTGGCCAGTACGTCGGAACTCATCCAACAAACCAAATTTCCAAAACTTTCAATGCGTTTTTCAAACAAAAAATGGAGTGGCCATTAGACGCTTGTTTTCCCTTTAAGCTGAACTTGGTTGAAATACAAATTTGTTTGCACTAATACAAAACTATGATAGTGCAAATGACATGGGTGCAAATTTTATCATTAGTGTTTTAAATTTTACCTTATTTTGTTTGATTTCAATATAAATGAAGTAAAATTAAACCTAAAGCAAAATAAAGTAAAACAAAATTAACCCATCATTTACATTATTTATTTGCATTACCATGCATTTGTCAATTGCCATAGTACAAACTACAAATAATATTGCACCACAACCAAATGCAGCCTTAGATACAAAACTATAGGGCAAACTAAAAAGTGTACAGCCATACACCCTCTACAGGTCCCAACATCCTCTCTTAATCTTGTGAGAGGGGGAGCCAGGGGTGGCACCCTATCCATATTTGATAGCTTCTGGCCTATCCATATTTATTAGCTTTTGGCCCTCTATTCATATTTATTAGTTTTTAGCCTCTCGGATAAAAAATCCTAACTCCGCCCTAAGGGCTGTGTTTGGTTTCATCGGTGTTTTTTCAATAACCGCTGCCATATCAGTGACATATAGACATTTCTGCTTATTGCTATTTATTGCTTACAAGATTACTGCTTGGTTATAGTGTTTATCAAATAAACACAGAAAAACAAAGACGCTTTGATTTATGTGAATGGAGCCATCGAGGGAAGTCGCTGCTGAGCTGGTGTGGCGTCATGGCGTGATTATGATTCGGTGCATTGCGGGTCACCGTTCTAAAAGAAAAATGCTACCTAAAACCCTAAACCCAACAACACTTCAGTCTGAGAAGAGATCGTTGTCACCCTAGCAAAGAGAGCTCCTTCGCAAAACCTTGTTGTGGACGCCAGTAAGTCTGCCCTCATAGAGAGAATGTCGTCATTTGAAGCCGGCAACTTTTTTTTAGACCTGCTTTGCTTTCTTCCTCTTCCTCTTCCTCTGGTTCTCTTACTTTGCTTTCTTTCTCTTCGATGGCTTCTCCCTTTGCTATGCTGCCTTCTATCTTATTCTTATCTCCTTCCATCTATAGTAATTCAATTCAAAATTCAACCTTGGGATTGCCTTCATCTAGAATTTAGGGATAAGTGGACTGCAATCCACTTCAGAAATCTGAATGGCAGCCCTTTCCTAGTCTATTAGTATCATCCCTATAAATTGCATCCTGCCCGTAAATTTGACATCAATCCACGGGTAGGATTCAGACCACCTCTATAAATCTTAGCTCCACCCTAGGGGTGGATTGAACTATAAAAACCCCTAGAATCTAAGGATCGAATCTTATTCCCAAATCATATTTTTTTGTTTGTCACTTACTCCAGGAGTTAAGATGGTGAATTAGATTGCGTCAATCATAAAATCATGAACAATTTTGATAAGGTCATACAAACAAGAAGCCAAATCTCCGCTCCTGTTCTATCGCTGGACCAATGGGACGACTCACGATCAATTTGTTCGGTGTTTGTCTCCACCGGCGAATTTCTCAGTTGCGGTCAATTTGCGAAGGGAAGAACAGCATGAGCACGACAACGAGTGGTTTGTACATATGGATTGGTCAATTAATTCATGGGAGACTCCGGTGTATGGTGCAGCTTTGGATAAGGACATGGCTGACATCTTTGTCGAAGGCTTGAATCTTCGGTTATATAGGGAATCGGATCTAGCCCAATTCAGTTGCCACTTTGGTTTGGACCGTTAGATTGACTTATGGCACTCAAATATCAAGAGCATATACCAACACTATAACATTCATACAAATGTTTCTTGAAATGCCACACCAAACACCCAAACTGCAGAAACGTTTATTAATGTAGACGTGGAAAGTAGCTTTATGGGTTAAACGCCCAACCAAATAACAAAAAAAAAAAAAAATAACATGTTTAAAGTAGTGTTTTTCAGATAACCCCCCTCAATAAACGCCAATCGAATCAGACACATACTTTATCTATTAACATTTGATACAAATAGCATATTTGAACAATTTTTTATTTATTTTTCTAGTATAAATCATATTTCCACCCATCAAAAATGCATGAGATGTATTTCAAAAAGGTCAAATTTCTTAAGCTATCCTTACAGTTTAATTAATTAATTGACTAATTCTATCTTTAATGTTTATATATTGTCTTAGTATATGTTTGGCATCGATGTTGCATATTTGTTTGGAAACTTTGCTATCAAGTAGGACATTTACTAGGCCAATATCAACACCTTATGTTTGGTACTAGTGCTCCATATATGTTTTCAGCATTGGTACCCATTATAAGAAGTCCACCTCACTACTACATTATGTCCTCGTTGGCAATAACAACTCCAAATTGAGAAAACGTCAAATTCAGCGTTTTCCCAAACCACACCTTCTTGATTTCCAACGTATGGTTTGGAAAAATGGTTCCAAACATATTACCATTTTCTAGAACACCAATTTTACCAACGTGGTGCTGATGTGTCACCGTTTTCTAAAGCAACGACATCGATGCCAAGCACCGCCTTAAAGCATCCCTATTGTTTCCCACAATTGTCTAAAACTTCCCCTATTGCTAACTTTCTATCATATGTGCACATAACTAATATATTTTTCAAAAATTTATAAATACCATTTTTTTAATTTGGATGATCTTCTTCCTTGTATTTGAGATAGTGATAAGGCTCTTAGAGTACATCCAAACAGTTGAATGACTTTTTGGGTTGTACTTGGTTCGATTTAAGCAAGGTGCCAAAGCGAAATGGGTTCCACCGGACAATGATGATTATTCAAACTTGTCCTTTGATCAATGTTTTCAAAACTGGATCAAACAGTTGGATCGGAAAAGTCGAGAATCGATCACCTGACCAGTTCCGTTTTACCCTAGAATCGTCTTTTGACAAAAAACCATTGATTTGGTCAGCAAATTGCTGACTCGGGCGATCAAACCATTCAAATCATCCAATGGTTTTTGATCATTTTTTATTTTTTTGTCAAAACAAGCCATTTGTTCGATTTGAACGATCAAACCATTTGACCTAGAAATCAGACCCCTAAACGGTTCATTGCCTGATTCAGTTTTAAAAACCTTGTCTTTGATGATCATACAAAATCATGAAAGAAGAGTGACGAGTTAACACGTCTCCTGAGAGTTCTACGAGAGTCACGATTCGAAGAATAAGCCTATGCATACTATCAAATGATATAAAGAACAAACACCCCACAACTACAACAATTATAGCATGGTGGGAATGCTTATGTGGATATGGATATGCTAGAGTCAGACCCTCTCCATTTTGAGGTTATCTAGTAAACCAAGAGACTGCTTATTGGAGCCCATCGAACTATGCCATAGCCGTTCACATTTTACAGCTTGTTTCAAATTCTTGCAAATGAATTGAATCTAGTAGGATGCACATCTAGCATAGAGAAAAACTCTCAGACCTTGATTTGGAATTCAGATATAGAAAATATATAAGAACAATTTTGCACCTCAGTAAGAATGAGAGGTTTTGAGATTACACTTCCATCCACAAATGCCAAAATTTAGAATAGCATAATATAAGAACTATGATACTCCTTATGTCGATTAAATAGGTGTTTGGCATCTGGGAATATCACATCATTTTCAAAGAAAGCGGTGCTTATTTTTTGTTTAGAACCGGTGCTACTACATAGGTTGTTTTTTAAAAAAATAGCATTGGTTTTGTTTAGTACCATTGCTGTAGAACCATTTTCAGCATTGGTCTAGATTATTCAACGTTCAAAATGATGTCACATTGATGCTACATTATTGCACCGTTGGCAATAATACGCTGTTTTCTCATAAAACTTTAAATTTAGCGTTGTTCTAAGCCATACTTTCCCAATTTTCAAGGTGTAATCTGAAGCAACGTTTTTTTTTTTTGAAAAAAAAAATGTTACCAAACAAGAGGGTCTTTTCTGAAACACCGTTTTCTCTTATATGACACCATTTTATTTCTTAAAAAAATGGCATTGATGTCAAACATCACCTAAACTCAAATTCATTTATTGGAAATGGCATAGACATCTCCGTGGGCTGTGACATGTTCTTAGAGCAGCTTGGTACGTTCTCCCCTACCCCATACGGCCCATGTTCTCTTCCAATTTTCAACCTCCCGTATCCTCACTTTTCTTTTCTCATTTTCTGGTAGGTAGGTGGCCCCCGAATCAGGTCCACGCAGCTTCAGATTCTTCACATTCTATGTCCCCACTTGATTATGGATTTGGGATAGGTGGGTATAAATCTTTCATCTCCATATAATATAACGTTTGGGATCACAGTCGATCATTCGTACAGGAGTGGCTGAAACAGATGAATAGATATTGCCGCTTGTTACAACTTACAACCGTCTCCGTTGTTGACCTGAATAGTGACCACCGAACAGTTTTTCTGATCTGCAATCTTTTTTACAGTTGGGTTTTATTTTGAAAATGTGAGAAGATATAAACTCGATGTTTTGTTTTTTTTTTTTTTCCATAGAATTAGTCAATTAACTAAACCACATGGGTACTTTAAGACATTTAACCTTTCAAAAATCATAAAAGGTGTTCCAAAAAAGATAATAAAAAATAAATACAAAAATAGCTATGGTAGCCTCCTGTTTAACAACTTTGTAACGCTTATGAATTATGATCAATGATCAAAACCTTTGAGAGGGAATTCAGATTGAGGAGATGTTTACTTTGTTTTAAATGGATAAAAAACTTTCAAAAAGCATAATGCATTTGTTCATTTATACCTTCAATGCTCACTATATATGCATATTTTAGCACTTGGAATGCAATAATATATTTATTTGTTGTTGAAATGCAATAATATATATGAATGATCTATTAAGACCCTTGATCCATCAACGATATATGTCAAAAGAATAACTTTTTTTTTTAGTTTTTGATAATTTATAAAAACTACAGAATAATTATTTAAGCAACTAAAATTCAGGAACTGCTTTTGATGTGAAAAGTATCTAATAAAATTTAATGGGTCTGGTATAGTTTTTTAAATTAAGATTATATCTATGTAAAATGTTAAAAATTTAATTACAACAATAAAGAGATCTTTATTGTTTATAAAAATAAAATATTGAAAACAAAACTAACTTAATTTACATTAAGTGGGGTGGGTCAACCAAAATAAACATGAAAAGAAATCCTAAACTTCAACACTAAAGTTAGCACAAGTTAAAGCATACAAGAATACCTATACATGTAAGGGTATCATGACAAGTGGGGTGGGTCAACCAAGCCTAAACCAACCTTAGATTAAAGAATCAAAACCCTAACCTAATTCTTGGGTCAAACGACATTTACCATTTAACTAGACATAATCATGAGATTCCTTGCAAGCAAAAGCTCTACGTGCACATACACATATACACACATATACACACAAAGGGGGTTGGTCGGTTCGGTTCTATTGTAGAACTTATACCATAATGGTATAACCTACCTTGTAGGCAGGGGCGGAAGTAGGATTTTTTATTGGTGGAGGTCAAAGCATAATAAACTTGGATAGGGGGGCCAAGAGATAGGAAACATGGGTATGAGGGGCAGAATATATGTGAAATTTAAATGACTACTATAGGGAATTTCAAGGCATAGGGGGGGGGGGCATGGCTCCCCTCTACCACCCCCTGGCTCCGTCCTTGCTTGTAGGGGTCAATTCCAGGTTTCTAGAACGAGAACCTACCATGTGAAGGTCAATTACATGGGCCGTTTTTGGCCTTGGAGCTCCAGGGTCTACCCTTGGAAACCCCATTATTTCCTTACTCTCTCCCTTAAAAAAAACATATTCTCTAAAAAACTTAATTTTCAATAAATATAATATATAGTTTAAAATCCATATCATCTTTATTAATTAAATTGAGCAATCTAATGTGTAGATTATCATAATATATTAATACATGTTTCAAAACTTATTATTAAATTTTAAAATTTGTAGATATTTCCTTTTGCATTATTTATTGTACACATTTAACTATTAAAATGAAAACAAATGATGAAATCACAAGTAGCTCAATGGTCAAGAGAGACCATAGCCTTTGTAATCATGAGCATTTGGATTCAAACATTTCCCATCCTTAAAAGCATTGTGAGGTTTATTTCAAGACAAAATCGGTTCCAAGGCCAATTTAGTAAGTCGATTCAAGTAGGGTAAATTGACCTTGAAACCGGACTAGGTGGGGAGTTTCAAGAATTTGAAACGGAACTCTACTCTCTAACATAATACATAGGGTCGATTCAAGGCCAATTTGAAGTCAATTCCATTCCATTTGCTCACCTATAACACACACACTCTAAAATCACGAGAATTCAGCCGTACATTGAGACCATGAATTTTAGCATAGGAGATGCAAGGTTAAAATATTGTCACATATCGACTGATTCGTATCGTATCAGAGCCTTGTCAATATGCCTCTACAAGGGGTGTTTCAGGTTGACGAGTGGTTCAAGGGGTAGACCGGCCCCTCCGAACTAGATTCTAAAAAAAAATTAAAAAAAAAGGTACTAATACAGGCTAATACACCCTACCAACATATCACCTTATATCAATATTTTGAACCTTGAGGAGATGTTCCCAATGTGCAACTAGATGTGATGTCAACAGGGTTTTTGCAAAAAAAATATGGGTTTGCCATATACGAAACTACATCACTTGCCAACAAAACACTTTCCACCCCCTACCAACATGATCTTATACGGAACGTCTCCTACATGATGGATTCCACTTTTATGAAGGGTCCTAGTCAGAGACTTGGATCAAGTTGTTAGAGAGTTGGAAAGTGTTTTCTTGGCAGAAGATCCCAACTCGGCATTGGTAATGGGGACCGTGGTTGAGTTGGGATCACCTGCTAGACATTCAAACTCTCTCCAACGTGATCTAAAACCGCACATGGACCTACATAAAAGTGGAACCTGTGTCATGTAGGAAATGTACGGTGTCAGATTATGTTGGGAGGATGTTGGACCGTTTGATCTACACTCACTGTTAGGGGTAGCCACAAGCTTCATAAGCTTTTCAAGTTTGGCTCGGTTTCAACCGAGCTTGAGCCGAATTTATAGGCTCGATTAATAAATGAGCCAAGTTCGAGTCAAATAGAGCGAGGCTCATGAGCCAAACTTGAATATATATAGAGAGAAATAAAATATATATAATAAAAATATTATAATTCTTAATTTTTAAATATTAAATAAAAAACAGTTTTTATTTTTTATAAAACTATTTTTCTCAAATCGAACTCAAGCCGAACCGAACTCGAGTTTTTAACTCAAGCCGAACTCAACGTTCTACCTCGAACCGAGCTTTATAGGGTCTCTTCCGGAAGTCGGAAAATGCGCCATATTCAAACGCCTGAAATTCTTCCTCATTTCCTCGGTTAACGAAGTCTCACCGGAAGTTGCAGAGCTCGGCTAGAGAAAGAAACACATGGCTGCTTCACCTGCAAACCCTGGAAACAAAGCATTGGATGTTAAATCCTTAATCTCCGCCTATTCGAGTGGAGCCTGGACAAGACTTCTCAGTTTCGTTCCTTCATTCAATTCGAATTTACTCGCAAAAGTTTTAAATCTATATGCACGAACATCCCGTTCAAGATATCGGAGGCGGAGATCGGGCCTTCCTCTTCCATTGCCATCAAAGTCGCTAGAATTGTCTGTGTAAGTTTTTGTTCTTCCCTGTGGTGTATTCTCTTTTTCTTTCTCGTCATTTGGTACTTCTTATTACCTGTTTTTCTATATTTACTTGTTGGTCTAGAATGTGGAAGAGAACAATCTCTCCAGTCGATTGAATCGTCTTAATGGAAGAGAAGAGAACGAGCCTACAAAAAAAAAAAAAAAAAGACGAGAACAAGGTCTTTTGAAGTCATTTATTGTATTGCTCAATTGCCATCTATATGAATCCCGACTCCTATTTAAATGACTGAATTCATGAAGCAAGTCAGCATGTTTATCTGAACCAGAAATTTCCACTCTCAAAGCAACTTGTGATATTCTGAAAATTAAGGCATAATCTCAAGTTTTTGCCTGATAAGTGAAAGCTTTATTTTTTGAACGAAGTCTTGAGAGAAATGGGTTCTGTAACTGACAAGGAAATCAAGGAGTTCATTTATCTTTTCTCTATCTATTCATTCAATATTGTTGGGAGTGGTGTAGCGGGCAACACAATTATTACATGCTCAAAAGGAAGGGAAACACCCAAAAGAAAGAAAGGAAGAGAGAACAACAGATTTAAAGTGGTTCGGCCAAATTGCCTATGTCCACGGATTGCACCTTGAAGCTTTCTTCTTCGCTATAAAACAAGAGAACTACAACAGCATCACCTCACTAGAATTTCACCCTTACAACCCCTTACAATTTAACACATAACCCCCACTCAATGCCCGATACTTTGTACACCTGAAGTACAAAGAAATGAATTGTTGAGAGGTTATGAACTGAAGTGAGGTGCCCTATTTATAGTTTACATTAGGGGCAGAAGTGGAATTATAAAAATTATTTTGAGCCATATGATCTACTGCCACTCACTGCCAATGTAATGGGGGGTGTGGATTAATGTTTGACTGCCCCACCATTATACATTGATGTTTCATATAGCAATGATGAAGAAATGGTTATCATTGCATGTTTTATCAAATGGTGGATCATTTGATGGGTTTTAGTAGGTGGAACCAACTTCACCTCAACATTCTCCCACTTGAAGACCATATCCCTTCACAATGAGAAAAACATTCTTGAGAACAGCTTCCAACAGGACTTTAGAACCAGATAGACTTCTCTCTTGTCATTGGTTTCGGAAAAATATCAACAACATTGTCATTGGTGTGGATCTTAAAGTATGAGATCTAGCAATCAACTACTTTACAGACAAAATGGTACTGTAAATAAATGTGCTTAGTTCCAAATTCCAATATGGTTCCTTGAAAAGACTTTGATGCAATTCCTAACACTGTCCTTTTGCAACTACCATAGCCCCTTTAGTGATCTTCAACTGGCTTTTCTTTCTTGCAGACTTGTAGCTGTTCTCATCAAAGTTTCCAAATTGTAGGAGACCTTTTCAATTCTAGAACATATTGTATACTAGAAATTTAAGTGATGCCATCAAATATTGTGATTTTGACATCTCCAACTCCCACTATTTTGCATTTGTTGTTGTCACCCATGTAAAATATCCCGGCATTGTACGATTGATATGTGTATAACCAATCTCTGCACGGTGCCATATGAAAAGAAGCGTTAGAATCCAATATCCAGTTATGCTTTAAGCTTTCACGTGGATCAACTAATAACACCTCACTGTCTTTTGATGAGTTGCCTACTTCAACAATATTTTCTCGGGAATTCTTTGAATAATCTACAATCTTTTTGAAGATGACCCTTCTTGCTGCAATTCCAACATTTGAGCCCCTTACTTTTGCCTCTCAACTTGGATCTTGTCTAATCTATACCAGAGCTATTTTTCTCACTAGATCTTCCTCTTACCATCATTACACCAACAGGAGATTTCTGACCAACTTTTTTATAGGACTCTTTTGTGAGCAATGTAGAAACAATAGATTCCAATGACAGATCTTTTGTGTTGCTCAAGTTCATAATCAAACTATCCCAAGAATTAGACATAAAACAAAGCAAAAGAGCAAAATTCTCATCATCATGATCAATGAGTACTTCTACAATTGCTAATTTGCTTACTAGATTGTTGAATTCATTCAAGTGTTCCTGCAGAGAGGCTCTTTTCTTCATCCGCAGGTTGTAGATAGACATTGATTTCCTTTCATAGAGATTAGGCAACTTGTCTCACAAACCCTTGGAAGTGGTTTCCTTGGACATGTTGAATAAGACTGAATCTTCTAAAGCGAGAAGATTATCCACCATGATTATTTGGTTCTTATCAAATTCTTCATCTTTCATATTGATAGACTTCTTCTTCTTTTTTTTTTCCTTCCAAAGTGGTTGCACAATCTTCTTTCACTAGCACTACATGCATCTTCAACTTCCAGAATGCATAGTTGGAGTTGGAGTTGTCGATACTTGGCACATTGAACCAGGTAGATTTTGAACTTGCCATTTTCAACATGTGTAACACCGAAGAAGAAATACAAATTGGTGCAAAATCCCAGTTTGTTGGGAGTGGCACAGTGGGCAACACAATTTCTACGTGCACTGAAGGAAAGAGAACACAAATAACAGAAAATCAAAGGGAGAGAAAGAGAGAGCACTAGATTTAAAATGGTTTGGCCATATTGCCTATGTCCACAGGTTGCACCTTGAAGCTTTCTTTTTCACTAATAAGAGAAATGCAACAGCATGACCTCACTAGAATCTCACTAACGCACACCCTTACAACCCATTACAATGCTATACATAATCCACACTCAATGTCCAATAATTTGTACATCTGTAGTACAAAGAAATGAATTGTTGATTGAACTGAAGTGGGGTACCCTGTTTATGGTTTACATTAGGGGCAGAAGTGGAATTGTCAAAATTATTTTGAGCCATAAGATATACTGCTATCCACCACCAATGTCATGGAGGGTGTGTATTAAACAGTGAGTATTAGGTGGTGAAAATGTCTGACTACTCACAATTTTTTATCGCATTATACTTTGATGGTTTTTATATAGCGGTGATATAGAAATGGTTTTCACTGCATGCTTTATCAAATGGTGGACCACTTGGTGGGTTTTAACCTGTGGAACTGACCTCACCTCAACAAATATGCTGGTTTAGAATGGAATTCCATGTAGTGCATTCAAAGGATTAGCTCTGACAGGTCCATTAGGTTATGGAAAAGGGCACTGCTGCTCATGCATTAAAATGGCTATATGTTGGGTCATGGTAGTGGGACAAAAATAGAGAGAACATTGTTTGTAGCTTAGAAGCATAGGTGATCTGATTTGGCACTACTGGCCTGTCACAAACCGGGTCCTGGATACCTCAAAATATGTGGTTGACAGAGTACTTTTTTTTGATAAATAAAAATAAAATTTCACTAAATAGAAAATAGAATACAATCTGAGTAGGTGTTAAGGTAACACCTAACAACAGAACATTTAATTATGATCCACAGGTGTTTACTTTCACTTTCACTATGATTTTTTTATATGTTATGCTTATGTATTTTGATGATCTGAGATAATAAGATTTTTAAAGCATTTAAGTTATTTAAAGTTCAGGTTTCTATATTTTTATGTATTAGTGTTTTTTTACTATTTGAAACTTTAAAAAAATTTGTTCTTTGCTTCATCCATGCGTGCTACTCTCTTCATCCATGAATTGTGGCTATGTTTTCGGGGCCAATAGGAGTGGACGCATTGAGAGCAGAGGTGATGGCCTTGCTTCAAGGTGTTAGATTTGCCAAACAATTGGGAAATTGGTGCGTGCTTTAAATATAGAAACCTGAATTAGCTGCAATCAGGTAAGTTGGGAGCCTAGATTTATAGACAGCCCATAAGGGAAATCCTCAATATAATAAGGGAGATTGGCTAAACAAGGGACTGTGAGGGAGAGTATGTTCTGGGCAGTTTTGTAATAAAGATAATGGGGACTCAATACCTGTTTAGGGGTTGACAGTTGTACTTAATATTGTATTAATGAAGGTACTGTTTCCAATAAAAAACACTGGGTGTTCTTGAAAGAAGCACAAAGTGGATCTGGGGCGTGGTGATTTGTCTTCATGTGAATGGGTCTTAACTTAGAACCTTGACAGAAATGCTTAAGCATAAAATTAACTAACCAAACTCATAACAAGCATTTTTACCAAATTAGTGTTCTTGAACATAATGAAATGTATGGACAATGACAACATGTTTTTTATTTATTGGAGATGAAACCTTGCTAAATTCATAGATTCAGACTTTAAATCTGGAAATATTCTAATCATAGCTGCAAACTTAACATGTGTAGGGGCCTTACCAAAGCATCTAGAATCTTTGATGTTTTGGATGATATTTTGGAACACATCTTGACAAGTTTGCATCACATCCAGAAGAATTTACACTTTTGGCAATCTAGAGCTGAGGTTAGTACATAATGGTCCAGACTCCAGAGAAGCAACAAGTGGCAATTTTTTTTTTTTTAAAATTTGGAGCAAACTACATTTTGGTCCATATTCCATGGTAATATGGTTATTCTAATTTGTCTTATTGTTGTTTTAGGGATCAGATTCCCAAAAGGTATACTTCATGGTGTTTGAGAGAGGTCCACAGGCATTTATTGATGGAACTTTTCAATTGATACGCGGTTGTTTCACAGAGGGGTCTTCTATACAACATCTTTGTTATTCTGCAGCTGCTCAAATATCTGAGAGGATAGCTGTTTTAACTAGCCTAAGATATTGCCTTGCTACATTTCTTGCACAGGTTTTCTTTGTCTTGTTCTCTTACTTGCAAGTAATTTGTGTGTCTAGGATTATCTGGTCCATTTTTATGCTGTCATTATGAGTGGGCTTTACCCTTTAATATGACAGTAATATTAACATTTTAAATTTCTTTTCTTCGATGCTATCCAGATCACTGGGTTATATGAATTATATAAATGATGGATTATAGTTGACATCAGATTTAGGATAAGATGAATGGATGCTGGGAAAGGAAATGTAGGATTTCTTAATTCTGAACTCCGAACTGAAAAACTTAGACAGTTACATCCTATAAATGTAATTTGTTGATTGGATCAAATTTTGATGTTTTTTTTCCTTATCTGGAAGATCTTTCAGTTTTGGTGTTATTTTGCTTGAAAGGAATTCTACCAATCACACTCCTTGTCAGAAAGATCATTCAAGGTTTTGGCCTATATCAGGGTGAGTGTCACAGTGTCACCGTCAACCCCACTAACCTTTAACAGCATCTTTTCAGATTTTACCAATTCATTAAAAAAGGTTTGAATCATTCCCCGATTCCTTAGCTCCTTGTCTTCCCTCTCATGCAATAATTTTCCCCTCTCCTTTTATTCTATTGCATCACAACCTGTAGCAGAAGAATGTTGCTGTAGGTGCTCTTGATTGGTTTTAGCAATGATAGCCGCAGAAGACACAACACAAAATTGAGACATTGCACTAGAATTATTCAACACATGAGAATTAAACAGAGGCTCACCCTCTTATTAGCTGTTATCTATCAGCTCTGGTTATTAGTCTACTAAAGACATCAGCTACCAGTGTGAACAGAAAGTGGTCCAGTCCAACCTATAAATTGGTTAGTTGAAAAAATATCGACCAAGTCAGAAGTCCATTCACTTGGATGGGTCAAATTGGCAACCATTTTATCTGTTCAGTAGGCAACAGGTTAGATCATTCTCTTCTCTTTTGAACAATCAATTAAGATTAACTTTTCTTCTAATGCCACTGATGTCTTTAACTCTTAATCTCTATATCAACTAAAAACCGATTAAGAGAGAGTGAAATATGGGTCAAATTGAGAGAAATATGTTCATCAGTGGCACTATAGCTGCGGCATTCAGCAGTGATAGCAGTGGCAAGCAAGGTTCAAAGTATCTGAAAGACAATTTTAAGAGACATATTGGGATACGCTTTGGATACGTATGGATATGGACGAAAAATCAAGATACACATAAATATGATAAAAATTCAAATAAATCTTAAAAAATATATTACTAACTATATTTACAAATTTTATATGATTGTAAATAAGCCATTTAAATGTAAAAAACTATAATTTAATGGTTTATATAAAGTGTGACATATCGGGACACAATTAGTAACTGTTGAAAAAATGATGGAATAACTAAATTGTAAAAAAAAAACTAAAATGTGAATGCCAATTTTCAAAAACCAATATAATTATTCTTAGTATTTATTAGTATATAAATTTTATTAATTAATTCTATCATTTATTAATAAAAACTTGTCACTCATTAAGAAAAGTGAAAATTTACTTAAAATTAAAAATACATATAATCATAGCAAGCAAATATGTGTGGCTCATTGGCGAAATTGTGGTTGTTAAAACTTAAAATCAAGTGACCAAGGTTCGAATCTTGCTATAGCTAAAATTTGAAATTTTTACTCTGACAAAACGAAACTAATAATAGGGGGTCATTAATTAAAGGAATTAATGAAAGAATTTGAATTAGGTGCTAAAATTCAAATTCAAATTTAACTTTGCCTTGGAGTAATTGGCTAATTAATGAAACAGAAATTAGACTTAAATAAACGACATTAATGAGAGATTTGGTATTAAATCCCGATACGGGCTCGTATTGGCCGATACATACGAAAGAAACGAAACAAATGATTTATACACGTTCCGCGTATTGGGTTCTTGTTGGAACGGTACGTACCGGCCGATACGGACCGATACATTGCGATATTTTGAACCTTGGTGGCAAGCGAGAGTAGGGTAAGTCTTTCATTATTATTATAGAAGAAAAAAATTCCCAAATAAAGAAAATAAAAAATCTGATTAAAAGATAAAGAAGCAAAGAAAATAGTAAGAGGAGAAGAAGAGGAAGAGAAAGGGATGAAAGAGAGGAGTTGTTCGTACTCTCTCTCCTTTCCCTAATCCTTTTAATTAAAATGGTTAATTACTGATTAACAGAAAATTACAAGTAAGCCCTTAGTGGGGCGGCTAGCTAATTAAAACAAGAGAAACTAATGCTAATAGGCCCATAAGAAAAGGCCCATTAACAGAATAGGCCATTTGGCCCATCTTCTCTACACTCCCCCTCAAGCTGAGCATAAATGTCAATCATGCCCAACTTGCTTGTATCATGTTGTAGCTTCGCCTTGGAGACTCCTTTGGTAAGAATATCAACTAATTGTTCTTCAGATGCAACGAAAGGTAGACAAACATCTCCAGAGGCCACTCTTTCTCTGATGAAATGCCTATCAACCTCAATATGCTTCGTTCTATCAAGTTGTACAGGATTGTGGGTAATGTTAATGGCGACCTGATTGTATATCAATGGTGTGTCATACTCAACACCCAATTTCTCCATTAGGGACTAAAGCCAAAGCAACTCTGAAATTCCATGAGCCATAGTTTTGTACTCTGCCTCAGCTGAAGATCTAGCAACCATTGATTGTTTCTTGCTTCTCCACGAAACAATATTACCTGCAACCATACTATAGTACCCCAAAGTTGACCTCCTATCATTAATGTTACCTGCCTAGTCAACATCTATATAGATTAAAAAATATGTGGTTGACTCATCAAGATTTTGTGAGAGAAGTGGAGATGTGTAATGAAGAGTTGAGAAGAGTGGAATGGAAGGGAGTGAGGTTCTGCAAGAAATTTCAAATATTGGATGAAAAGATTAAGGAATGGAACAATAAGCACTTTGGTAGATAGATAACCGCTAATGAGTCAGATCGAAGAATTGGATGAGAAGGAAAATCAAGGTGGATTGATTGAAGAGGAAAGAGTGTTGAGAAGGGATTTGAAAAAAAAGATTTGGAGGAGGTCCTATACAGGGAATATTGTTAGAGTTTTTGTTGATCACTTTTAATCTATTTTCAAGAGACCTTTGAATCAGAGAGAGATTTTGGAAGAGTTCAACTGGCCTGTATTGGATCTAGAAGTATCAAGGTGGCTGGAAAGGAACTTTTGAAGAGGAGGAAATTAGGAAGGATGTCTTCTATATGAATAGATCTAAGGCCCTTGGTCCTGATGGTTTTACAATGCCTTTCTATCAGGACTATTAGCAAGTAGTGAAAGAAGGCTTGTGTGAGGCTTTCTATGAATTTGCAGAACAACATTTCATTAGTTGAGGGATTAATGCTACTTTTTTGGCCCTTATTCAGAAGAAGCCGAATGCTAGTAACCCTAAAGATTTAGGTCCATCAATTTGGTGACTAGTATTTATAAGATTATTGCCAAGGCCCTATGTATGCGACTAAAGTTGTGCTCCCATCCTTAATGAGCCAGTTCCAAGGTGCTTTCCTCTAAGATAAACAATAATTGACCAATTTCTTGTTGCAAATGAGTGTGTGGGGAAGCTGAAAAGATCTAACTACAAAGGTTTTATTTGCAAGTTGGACTTGGAGAAAGCCTATGATTTGGTGGATTGGAAGTTTTTGATTGAGGTGATGAGGAATTGTGGCTTTGGTAATAGGTGGTATGAATGGGTAAGGGAATGTTTTTAAATCATGTCACTATTTTGTGTTGGTTAATCTGATGGTGAAGGATTTTTTTAGGCAAATAGAGGCCTGAGGCAAGGGGATCCCTTATCCTTTTTCCTCTTTACTCTAGTTGTGGATGTTTCTAGCATACTCATTTCAAAGGCGAATAAGGAGGGGGAGACTAGGGGTTAGAAGATTGGTGGTAATAATATTGTAGTTGCCCACCTCCAATTTGAAGCTGTCTTGAATCTCAAAGTTAATTTTGAAAAGAGTTGCATTGCGGTGATTAATTTAGAGGATAGAGAACTAGAGGCTACCGCGGAGAGGCTTGATTGTTCCATTTCTCGTTGGCCTTTGACCTACTCGGGGCTTCCTTTAGGAGCAAATCCTAATGAGAGTAGTTTTTGGTTCCCAATTTTAGAATGGTGTGCAAATCAACTAGCAATGTGGAAGAAGAACTACATATCTTTGGGTGGGAGAATTACTCTGACAAGATCAACTTTAGCAAATTTGCCATTGTATTATCTGTCAGCGTTTAGGATTCTGCAGGAGGAAGCTAGGAAGATTGAGAAGGTAATGACTAATGAGGGATTTCCTATGGGAACTAGGGAGGATAAAAAAATGTCACCTATTGAGATTGGAAATAGTGACTATAGATCTAAAGGAGGATAAAAAGAACTTAGCTTTGTTAGGTAAATGGATTTGGAGGTGGCCTTTGGAGAGGGTCAGATTGTGGTTCCAAGTGATTACTAGCATTCATGGATTTCTTCACTGGTTTCTTAGCTTCATCAGGTATGATGTGTGTTCCAGGGTGGCTGCAAAGTTTTGGGAAGATCTTTGGGTTGGTTCCTCAACTCTTTAAGGATCTGTTTCCTTCCCTTTGCTCAATTTCTTTGTACAAAAACAAGTGTGTCTCAGATGTTATTGTTTCTCCTATCATTCCACTGAATCATAATTGGGATTTTGGTTCTCGAAGAGGGTTAAGGGATGCTGAAATGGTAGAGTTGAATGGGCTTTTGCAACTTCTGGACTGACTCCATTTTCTTGGATCCTACCAAACCAGATAGACATATTTGGATTCCTCATCTTGAAGGTCTTTTTCCTTGTGCTTCTCTTTTCAAGTCTTTGTTTATCTTCTCCTCAGCCTCTCCCTACCAAGGAAGTGTGGCATCGACTTATTCCTACCAAAATTGGAGCCTTTTGTTGGGAAGCGTACCATGGGAAGATCAACACTATGTATTTGCTACAAAAAAAGAACACCCTTTTTACGCTTAACCCCAA